ATATGCGCTTTTGTGTGTATAGCTTTTAAGGAATGCTTTTGGTTTTAGTATGATTTTGAAACGATGGATGCAATGCATTAAAACAAATCATATATTTCTTACTGTAATTTCCACATGCCTAGCTATCTGCATGTTAGTTGGAGTGCTGACTTTTCCGGCTGGCTGGGATAGTGAAGTGGTAAGGGAAGTCTGTGGTCCAGAAGCAACCGACTTCAACCCTGGTCAATGTGACCTCCGTTGGGCCTACATTTTGGCAATCATTGGAGTTTGTGATTGTACTGTACTAGCAATTCTCGCCTTCGTACTGGGGTCTCGTTACGTTCGACTGCTTCCAGACCAGTATATTTCTAGTAACTCGCCAAAACAAAGTTAGTAGCTTTGAAAACAGTTAAGTTTTAATGCTATATAATTCATGAAAAACATTAAGATCTGGTAAAAAAACAACAACAAAAATCTTTAACATACTAGAATAACGAAGTATATTTAGTGTATTATAAAAAGATAATGTTCATCTCTCAAACAACTTATTTAATAATTTTTATATAAAGTTTTTAGTCAAAGTATGTCGTTTGGAGTTTTTGTAGTCCTTATGGAGCACGTCCTCACGTAAGAAATATTTCGAGAAAAAGTTTACAAATTATGATTGGAAAATGTTTTATTGTACGAAACAAAGATAGATACTTTAGATCGCCCAGTTACAGTTGACTATAATTGTTTGTGGATATGTTAACTTCGTTTTTATACGCATTAGAATTAACTTATAGAAATGCAAATATTTTTAGGTCATGTTTTGAATCCCTTTTTAATAAATACTTTGTTTATTTTCACAAAAGTGTGTGTATATAGGTCGCGCTGTCCTAAAAGTACGCCCATATAAAAGTTTACTCCGAATTAATAAATATTAAGTCTACACGCTGTGTGAAACGAAATAAAATTTTGTATTTACATAATAGCATAAAAGTAAAAATAATAACAGAAATTTCAATACTATATCGATGCTAAGGAGTTTATTTTTCTCAATCAGGAGACACGTCTACCAATTACATCTCAGACAGGCACTCTCTTACTTCTCGAAAATCTAACAACCTGGAACCTCCGATGCTGGTGCACCCTATTGGCGACCCGGAACGTTTTTCAGAGTATTCTCATCGAACTGGGCGTTCTAAGAGTAGTTGGTCAAGAGATGACTTTGAATCGTCAATCAACAACTACCAGATGTGATGTCACTAATGCGTTAATATGATTTAACCAATCAAATTGATCCAAAACAGTATTTTGAAATTGATACTAACTTTGTAACTTACAGAATTTCTCAGAAATTTAATAAGGTTATTATTGTCGCGATACGAACAACGCTATTTTTTCCTTTTTTTGTTGTTCAGTTAAACTTTAATAATCCTAAACTTCTTAGTTTTAATTATTAAGAACTTGAAGACTGAAAAGTTAGTTAGAAGTATTATAGTGATGTCCTAGAGAACTTATCTGCATAAGTTCTAGAAATATTAGTATACATATTCTAGTATACATATAACCACAAGTTTAGTTTATTCATTTCCTGGACAATAAGTACAAGAATCCCAGATCTGCTGGGGTAAAAACTTTCAACATCATCGTGTATTACTTTGTAAGCTGTTTAATTTGAAATTAAGATGTATGTTACACAGCATATTATTTTCTGATATCCCAAATAATTGGTGTGAAGGAGATACTTCTTTGAGCACCTCGGGTCGTTTTGTTTTCTCTTCGTAACCGGCGGTTACTGAGAAGTTTAAGTACTACTTTTTTGTAAAATAATTATGTGTCCAATTTTTATTAACCAAATGTGTAAAATGCGATTGTCATAAAAAAGTTCGGCTGTCTATCTAATTCATGTCACAATTCAAATGTAAGATCAATCAGCCATATTGTTTTTACACAACTCCATTTACCCGATTTTAAGCAACGAATAGATAAATTTTGTATTTGAAATACGTAATGGATAGCGTTAAATCATAATCCAATCTCTGTTTTCCCCCCTATCATTAATCAAGTTACTTTATCTAAATTATAAATTAATTCATAACATGAAAATAGAAGAAAGTTAAAATATATATTTTAAGACTGGTACCTCAACAAAATTGTAGCTCGTATCCAGTAAATACTATATATTGAATTAATCGACATTTTACCCTTCGAACACATACAATAACCTTAATTCTCACTCATTCTGTGTTTAACAGTGTTATCCTAGGCCTACGTTGATGTATATCAATGTAGGCCAAAGAGTTATCACTTCCCACATGTTTTGTTTTTGTTTACCAGAGCGCCTTCTACGTTAATAGTTGCCGTCTTTTCTTCAAGATATTGCTTTTGTACGTTAGCATTAAAAGGTTATTGCTATTTCAAAGTATTTGAGGTCAGTGAAATAAATATCTTTATTATCGTTGAACGGTGTTTTGTATTCGAGTGTACTATATATGTATATATATATTGTTTCATGACAATCAGCCCCTCTGAAGATACCATTGTAACTGTCAAAGAACTGAGACCCTGAGGTGAGCTGATGATTCTATATTTATTATAGGTATAGCTTCTGTTAGACCTGGTACGATGGTTTTTTTTTTACCCATTAACCTTCGTTCACGCCTATTAATCTTCTATTTTTGATAACTAATTTTTTTTAATGTAGCTTTTTTTGATGAGGTTAATAGGTGATTAAATTACGATCATAATATAATTGTTTATTACTATAAGGAAAAATGTTTCTCGGTTTTGTATTTTCTCTACCTATACCAGCAAAAAGAGAATAAACAAGAGGGAACCCTCAATAGTCGAGGCACTTAAAATTATTTTAGGCAGGATTAGAGTAATTTAATCTATGAGACCTTTTTTTCCTTTTTATTAGCTATATTTTTGTGCGCCAGCAATACTATGTTTTTCAAATTCGATGACGAGGAAC